TGTATAAGATACAGGGAAAATGTACCAAACCAGAAAAGCTAACCTGTGTTTTAACAACATTAACAAACGTTACAAAGGATGAAAAAAAAAATCATTCATAGCTTTAATGTTACCTGCCCATAAACTATATATTACTTCTATGGAACGCCATAGCTGCCTTACGTGGTTACTTGATGAGAAGATTGTGCTGTGGTTGTTTCATGTGAAGATGGTGCTTTTTATGTTATGCTGTGGTTATTTAATGTGAAGATGGTGCTTTTTATGTTATGCTGTGGTTATTTAATGTGAAGATGGTGCTTTTTATGTTATGCTGTGGTTATTTAATGTGAAGATGGTGCTTTTTATGTTATGCTGTGGTTATTTAATGTGAAGATGGTGCTTTTTATGTTATGCTGTGGTTGTTTCATGAGAAGATGGTGCTTTATTATGTTATGCTGTGGATATTTCATGTCAAGGTGGTGCTTTATTATGTTATCCTGTGGTTTTATGTGAAGGTGTTTTTTTTAAGCGAAGATGGTTTTTTCATGTGAAGGTGTTTATTTATGTGAAGGTTGGTTTTTTTTTATATGGAGTTGTTTTGTAATGTGAAGGTGTTTTTTAAGTGAAGGTGGTTATTTCATGTGAAGGTGGTTTTTTTATGTTATGCTGATGTTATTTCATGTGAAGGTGGTTTTTTTAAATATTTTATGTGAAGGTTGTCACTCGGAACTCCTTATAATTTTTAAGACTGAGTTTAACAGCTATTATTGGGAAAATTTGAAAGAAAAATAATTTAATTCTGACTGTAACGCGCCATTTGATTGGACAAAAAATTACTTTATTTTGTATAAATTGGGTTGCCGACGTCACAATGACTTGCGTCAAAAACGTATCGATCCGCCTGACGTTACATTTAAATTTTGTGCAATTTGAAGTCATTTTAAGGGCAATCATCTTTTTTTCTCACACTGAATGAATGAAAATTAAATTATAAGGAATGAATTTATTAACTACCCAATTTATACGGTATAAAGTGGGTTAGAACAGTTTACGCTTTTTATAAACCGCTTCAATTTGTTTTATCTGTAATATCATTGTGCTTCTACTGACTTTTGTTGTTAAACACAGGTTGGAAATTCCGATGTAAATCAACTTGTACAAAATTTAGCTGGCTAGCTTTAACCTCTTAGCTTCGCACCTTGGAAAAATTGATCTTTATACTGCCTGACCCTCGTAGCGTCAGGCAATAATCTTTGATCTTTACATGTCTGACTTTTTATGCACAGGCATCGGAACCGGAAGGGGGGGGGGGCCTAGCCCCCGCACTTTTTTTTGCAAAGATAGACATAATATAGGCATTGAAAATTGGGGCTTACATTTTTTGTGGGTTTAGCCCCCCCCCCCCACACACACACACACTTTCAATAAGCCCCCTGACTTTCAATTTGCTTCCGACGCCTATATTATGTGTAGATCTAGTATAGTTGTGTACACGTATTTCAATTTAGTCATTACAGTGCAATATTGACAAAAAGTAAGGAACAGATTAGAAGATAATTTCGAGTGGTTAGAAAAGATTTTTTTTTAAAAAAGAGAAAGAATAAATGAATAGATATCCAATGCCCCTTGCCATTTTACATACACATTATTTTTTTGCACATGACAAAGAATCAAGAGAATATTCTTATTTCTTATAGTGGCAGGGGGAAAAGTAAAAATATGCATTATAAAGTTAAATATTAAGGAAGTGAATATTAATAGATATAATCAGTACTTACATTGGATAAACGTAAGAAGCATGCACTTGAAACTTTACCTTTAACTGTTCAGAAAACGCCATGTTCAAATATAATTTTTGACTCAGCGGATTTTCCGAAAATATGGCGTGCTATCTTAATCAAAGTCGTCTCTTGTGAGCTCAGATTTCAGGAAAATCCATCCCCTAAAAATATGATAATTTACTCTCACATTATTTCTTAAGGACTAACATGTTTTTAGGCCACGTCACCCGAGTCGCCCGTGACCTATTTCTGATCTTCGTCTTTCGTCCGTTTTTAACTAATTGTAAAATTTGATATGAGCATGTAAGAGTTAAGATGAACATAAAATATGATTTTCGTAATTATTGTATCCTTTTTTACTGCAAGGGCTTGGCAGGCTGAAACTGATTTCATAATCACATTTCAAGCTCTTCTTCTCTGTCTCTACACAACTTGAAGAAAAAAAAACTGAACGCATGGTAAGAAAGAGCACAAATCCTTCTTTCAAAATTGTTTTGTAAGATCCTTAGGGCAAGAGTTCAGCCTCCAGGGTGAGCTAAAATGGTCATGCCGTGGAAATGTATATAATCTCAAATCCTCTACTCGTCGCCTGATAGGCTATTTGCTCATAATAAAGGAAATCTTCTACCAAATAAGTGTTTTCATGACCTCCAGGGCACAACCTCTTCTTTGGGGGGGGGGGGGGGTTTAAATATTTACATAGTGAAAATGTACATAGTTCTAGATAATCTTTTTGTACCCCTGTATATCTATCTTATTTGGCAGAAAAAGTTAGAAACCCTCTACCAAAACTATAAAATACGTGATGACCTCCAGGTTCAAAATCCAGGGTGGGGCTAAGTTGGTCATATTGAAATTGAATAATACAAGTATCTTATGAAATCTTTTCTCATGGACATTTAGCAGGTAAATTGTTCGTACAATTACTAGTATATTGAGCACTTGATGTTTTGCTATAAATGTGAAAATCATGACGTCTCAGACAGTTCATGGTCCAAGACTAAGGTGGGATTTAGTTTGTCATATATTCAAAATACATTACATCTAATATGGGGTTGAGTTGGTAATTTATTAAAAATATATTATTACTCCTTTGAAATTTTCTCCTTTACTCATGGAAATTTAAAATAAAACTGTTTGCATGATTACAATAATTACATTATCCTTTAATGAACCCATGCATGGCAAATAGTTCAGACATGTAGGGTTAGCTGTTAGTAACTGGTTACTAGTAGCTAGCAAAAACATGTGAGTAAAGCTAGCTACTAGTAAGTGACTTAAAATGGGAATAAAGCTTGCTACTAGTAACTGGCTAAAACATGTGAGTAATGCTAGCTACTAGTAACTGGCTATACATGTACGAGTAACTGTAGTACAATGTAATAAAAAAAAATATGTAAGACTCAAAAGTCCAATAGTTGTTTTGTTCAAACAAATATGTCAAACATATTATATATCTTGTAGAAATAATAGTCGGAGAGCTCTTAGTAGATGTAATTTGTAAGATGTAATCGATATAATTCATATTATACATGTATTGTGTGTTGAGAAAGTGCAATGGTAAAAAACTTTTACGTAAAAAAGCACAAGTTGTAATATTTCGAAATTTGATAGTCGCAGCAAAGAACGATGGTCTGCGCCAAAGTCCTAACTAAATCCTAACTATGAAAAGGAACTACAGGGAAAGTCGAGAGAGATCAGAAACCGCGCCAAACTTGTTCTCTCTCGACTTTCCCGGTAATTCTGGGACGCCTCTACATTTTTCATAGAAATCGTCATTTCCGTTTGCTCTGAGTTTCTGTGCAAGCTATCGAGGACGTTTTGGTTTAGTGCATCTTTTATAAAACAAGTTCAAATTAGCAAACGATTAAAGGGCATTATTCAACCATTTTAACCTAGATCTCATCCCACCGGTAGGAAAAGTGTACATATTGATTGAAATCAAGTGTGAACCGAGGCACCCTCGGAAATGCAAGATGTCAACTGTCGTACCTTTATTCTTTTATATATATATAGTAATATGGCAATTTTGAAACGTGCTAATTTCAGCGATTTTTTATCTTTATTTTAATGAGTGTATTCAGACACACTTAGAAAAATACTTAATGCACAAAATACACCCTCCTGAAACCAATTTAAGCGCCTTTGAGTGAAATAAGTCGAATAACGGTTAACACTGAGTATTTTTTTTCTGATGGGGACTGCATGGCTTTGTAACTGGGGTTGATAACGCTTATAAAAAACTATTTTGTATTGGAAATGATTATAGAAGTTGTGTATGTAGTAAAGATAAATAAAGTAACTTCCGCGGATTACCCGGGATAATCATTTTTTCAATAATTGCTGAATTTGATTGATGATTGATTTGTTGTTGCTGCTGAAGTGGGTCTGCTCATGTTGTTCCGAATTGATTGGCGACACACCAATAATGCTACGACAATATTCGGCATATACTAATAAAAAATACTTAACTTTTGGTGTGGTAGAATTTTCTCCATTATAGATGAGATATCATATCAAGTCTACTAGCATTTATGGTATCTGAACATTGTACTATAATTATGTTCAGACATTCATATGAATATTTTCTGTGTTCTTTTGAAAATAAATGTTAGATACCTTAACTTCTGACCAAGTGATTTCTTTTGTGTGTTTGGAGCAGTAAAGAACAATAAAATTTGATTTTCACGCTCTGTGCTCTCTAACATCAAATGCAGAAAGTATTGACATTCTGATTAAATATTATTACAATTTTCTTCCTTTACAGACTCTCCATGTACTAGTGCTGCAATACACTAGAAAGTTTTAATTGCGTGGTATATAAATGCAGTTAGAGAAATCAGTCTATAGAGATAGATATACAGAGTATTACTATTTGTTATCAATTCAAGAATCCCTATCAGTTTAATAAGGCGAAATAAATTTATCGAACAGTTGTATTAGCATGGAGGTTTTAGTCCATCGAAGTCTGCAACAATGACTTTGTACACCAATACTTTAATTTGTTGTCTTTGAAAAGTTTTCCCACAGGTGTAAATAGCCGGTGCCGTATTTTGAAAATGAATAAGATAACTTCAACATAAAACGAGAAAAAGTTGTTTTAAATCTCTTTTAACGTATTGCTTGCAATAGCATACTCCCCAGATATTTCTTTTTGGGCTTTATTTTCATTAATGGTTTATTATATTGTTGTTATGTTGTTTTATCATGTCGGAGGGAAAAAAATGAAGAAGGAATATTCTAATCACTATCACTGAGATCACTTTCAGTGTCCTCGCTATCATCATTGCTCTCACTATCATAGGCCAATTTATCAAGAGATGCATCTTCATCTCCCATTATTATCAAAAGGCTGTATGCTGCTCGTCTTCTTGATCTTTGGTCAAGACGATCATCATCTTCCAGAAATATGTCGATTTCAGGAAGAAAGAATCTTGGTAAACAGCCTTCCTTGTTAAATTTCAAGAATTTCTTAAAGATCAAAATTGTCAGCTCTCGTGCGGACAAATCTGTGTCAAATCCCTCTGGTTCATTAGGGTCCCATCCTAGATCCCGCAGGACATAAAAGGTACAATTTTTTAACATATAACTTGTAAAATCATCTTCTCTACACATGTTAACCAGCAATTTAGCGGCTACATAGCTTTCACGAATTCTCTTTGGAAGTGACTGCATCAAACGGATTTCAGCCGGAGCAGTAGAGACCAACAGACTGGTTGAAATGGGTTCGATGCGGTTTATGCTGTCCATGGTGAATTCTTTTAAGTAGTCTGAGGTGAATGTCTGAAGTTCATCCTTGGTATCAAGCATCAGGAGACATCCAGCATCGTGGATCTCCGGTGACATCAGTGTTAGGGAATATGGATCTATCGGCCACCAAGCTGGCTTTCTGATAACAGGAACCATATCAATTTTAATTTGCAGGTGCTTATATTGACATCCCATCCATGTTAAGTGTATCATAAATACTGTCGTATTCATGTCCTTCTTAAGGAAAGGTTGTTCAAAAACATAACATAAATTTCGAAGCTTCTTGTCCTGCCACATATTTGGATCATGAACAGCCCGCCGAAGGTACCTATTTAAATGCGTGAAAGCAGTTGGAGTTGTAAATGTACCATTTCCGTCAAAATACTCAAGAAATTCGCATCGTTCAGGGTCTTTTAGTTTCAGAAAGATATTTCGATTATTTTCTCTGCTTGTCCTCTGGAAAATCTCGGTGATTTCACTAAAGGCATCTAAACAAAGGAGGAAATCAAATTCATCTGGCGCACCTGCTTTCGTTCCCTCGGACGAACTGCCAGATTGCAGCACTGACATTCGAAATCGTGGGTCATATTCTTCAACCTTACTGCAGAGCACACCAACAAAGTATCGAATTGTAGAAATGATTGAGTTATCTTCATCCGATACCTGCCTGTACATATGCTGAAGAAGCTGATCAACAAATTCATCTGTTTCATTCCATTGAATGGGTTTCATGTGTCGAATTCTTTCAAGATTTAGGAGAAACCCTTGATTGTTATACATCCTCTCTGATCCTGTACTTTTCAAAATTAATTCTTCTGTTCTAGAACTATAATTTCTTCTTGCTGTATCTAAAGGTGTATCTCCCATCTTGTCTTTGATATCTGTTTTCGCACCTTTTTCAATCAGCAACATGGCAAATTCCGCTGCATCATGACACGCTGCATAATGAAGAGCAGTTGCACCATTTTCATCTCTAGCGTCAATGACAGAAAAATTATCTGAAAGTTCATTCAAAGTATAAAAGCAGTCGGAGTCACACCAAGCACTAATATACATCAGCGGAGTAGACAACCATCTATCTCGGCAGTTGAAGTCAACTTTTGCAGCTTTTTCTAGATTGAGCAGAGATTTGATTTTTTCATCTGATGTCAAAACAGTTCCCTCTTCCATCCTCATTAAATGCGCAACCGATTGCTGAAAAATATTTTTGGAATCTGCACTGTTACCTAATTTCACAAGCGTTTTCAAAAGGTCAAAAGGAGTTGCTTTTTGTGAACAGGCATAAGCAATATGAATGGGATAATTGCTCAAATTATCTGGTGTTGTTGAACAGTCTGACAAACTCGACATTTTCTTTAATACATCTAAGGCGTTTACTCTTCGGTATTTACCAAAATGGCTGAGGAGAAGAAGAAACGGTGTAGCACCATTAATATCTTGTTGTTGCAATGATGTTTTCAAGACATTCGAGGACACGAGTGAAATCTTTTGGCTTATAATATCATCAAGGAGAGCAAATTTCTCTTTTAAGTCATCCGATATAGAGTTGCCACGATTGAGACTTTGCACTAATGTGTGCAGAAAGTTTTCACAGTCATCGTTGACTATCAGCTTATCAACATGAGGAAAAGTCTCCAGCAAATACCTTAGGACACTCGGTGGGGTGCCGTACTTGCATGCGAGATGCAGAATTGTGTTGCCACATTTGGTCTTCTTGTTGATATCGATGTCAAAACTAAGTAAAATTTTGATCACTCTTCTCCAGTCATCATGCGTCAATATGTTATAAATGTAACAATGCAGAACGTTGTAACCATTTATATCCTGGATTCGGGGATCACAGTTTGGTACCGCTAGCAGATTTTCGAGTATAAATGTTTTCACAGCTGCGTAGTGAAGTGGTGTCTGACCCCATCTGTTTCGAGAATTAACGTCTGAAGCAGGACCCTTAAAAAACAACATCTGCAGTAAATCATGACGTGTTTCCTTTATAGCAGTATGGAGCTGAGTGTCTTTACTGAATGATTCTTTGATTTGGGTTTTTGTACTTGCTTCATCCATCTCTTCTTTTTGAAAAAGAAAGCAAATCTGAATATCTATGTACAAATTTCCCCAAATCTTTGAAAAGAATTGTGGTTAATCAAGACAACATTTTAGTCCTTATGTCCGGAGAAACACATGATTCTCAAGAATAATATCAAATAATATACATTTATTGGCTGTGTTCCAGAGCAACATGCGTTTTGTCGGACCCAAGATCGAACCAAACTGTTTGCGTGAGGCCAGAGCCAAACAATTTGGATCGATCTTGGGTCCGGCAAAACGCATGTTGCCCTCAAACACAGCCAATAAATGTTTATAACTTTTACTTTTTTGACATACTGTGTGCTGGTTTCGGTGATGTAAATTCGCTCAATTCCGTAAAGTTCTATCGAACTCTTACAATTGCAAATAAGATAAAGCTAACCCCGCCCACATTGTTCTAATATCTCACCGACAGGCCCAACATCTCACCGACAGGTCCAATATCTCACTTTGCTGTCATCGATTTCTTTTTCTTTTGGACCGCTCAGTAAAAAATTGGAAGTGTTAAACTTGTTTAGTATAGATTTATACATAAAACATTTTTAAAGGTAAAACAATCTACATTTATTGCTGGTATCGAGGGCAACATGCTGTTTGCCTGAGGCTGTTAGGGGTTGACAAAACTCATTTTGCCCGAAAACACGTCAATAAATGTTTTGTTATACCTTTTATTTATTTCATTTTGTTTTGTTATACTTGATATTGGACCGCTTACGTAACACTGTGGGCGGGATCAGCTAAATCTTTTTTGCATTCCTTGGTATGGAAGTCAGCAAAAAATACATGTATAACAAAAAAAATAAATTAAAGAAATAAAAAGTATAACAGAACATTTATTAACGTGTTCTCGGGCAAAATGCGTTTTATCGACTCCTCGAACCAAACTGTTTGCCTTAGCCCTCCTGGCCTCAGGCAAACAGTTTGATTCTCGGGTCCTACTAAACACATGTTGCCCCTCGAACAAATTCAATAAATGTATATTGTTATACCTTTAAAAATTAGTTCCTATATAAATCTGTACAAAATAATTTAACATTTCTAATGTTTTACTGAGCGGTCATAAAAAAAATCGTTGTTTGACCACAGAGTTAGATATTGGACCTGTGGACGAGATATTGTGCCGTTTACGTCAAACTGTGGCCGGGATCAACTAAATCTTATTTGCATTCGTTGGTATGGAAGCCAGCAAAAGATACATGCATAACAAAAAAAAAATAAATAAAAGGTATAACAAAGCATTTATTGACGTGTTCTCGGGCAAAATGCGCTTTATCGACCCTTCGAACCAAACTGTTCGCCTTCAGCCTAACGGCCTCAGGAAAACAGTTTGTTTCTTGGGTCCAGCAAAACGCATGTTGCCCTCGAACCCAGTAAGTAAATGAAAAGTAAATACTCTATGTAAAATGTAAAAAACTCTATGTAAAATCTCCACATTAGTATTATCACAATATTGAAATTATTTGTCTATGAAATAGCATGCACACACCAAAGATGACAAAAATGATACCCGATACTTTCTTCATATTAATCCATATAAGTTATTTTCAAAGTATCCGTTCAGATATACATTTTACGGTTAATAAAAACATGAATCAAGGACCAACTACACCTTCAAAAATACACTTTTATGACAAGTCTTTTGTATCTTTCCGAGAAATATTTATTAAGAGTCATATCACAAACAAGATTTAAATGTCAGCTTTTTGTGTGGCGCGACCACGAATCTCTGAAGTTGCTTGTTATACTAAACCACTATATATACATGAATTGATTATCATTCAGACGAAGAAATCTCTTTTAAATGGAGTACCCATGCGATACACAGATACAAATTCATATTTTTAAAAAACGTTTAAGATGGATAAACATTACTTTTAAATGCATGAATAAGTTTACATAGTATTGACTGATACTGCAACGTTAATTTAAAAAAAAAATGCAATCAATACACACTATAATTTCAAAATCGCATTCGTTGATGTATTATACATACACGACATGCATTAAAAACATTTACCGGTTATGAAAGCGACACCATCCTGTAGATACTGTGATTAAATACCAGAACACTTACTTATTATTCAGCGGTCTTGCCGTCTCTCATCAAAAGGCGGAATAGAATTACTGCCTTTTGTAGACGACGCAGCTTAACTAGGTCAACTACACGTGACAACAGCAAGCGCTGCCAATTACGAACTAAGTTTGCTGTACTATACATTGTATTGTTTTTGGTTAAGCGACTGTGCATTTTATACACGTTTATCTTTATACATGCACGCCTGACTTTCAGTATGTAGATACAGTAAATACATGTGTACGTAGCTTTATACCTCAATTCAGTGCAATATTGACAAAAAAGTAAGGTAATAGATAAGGAGATAATATCTGATTGGTTAAAAAGGTAAAAATATGCATTAAAAAGTTAAAAGAAGTGAAATGAAGAGTAGTACAAACAATCAAAACTCAAAGACGATGGCATAATCAGTACATTGCATAAATGTAAGAAAAACTAGAGGCATTACCTTTAACTGTTCAGAAAACGTCTATGTTCACCAACTGCTTTAAGATCGAAAGCGTGAAAAAATGTCGACTTAAGTTTCACATTTCTGACTCAGTGGATTTTCCAGGCTTAACAGTTTTTTGTCAGCTGAGATTTGAGGAAAATCTGTCCCCTAAACATGTGGCTGGTATATACATGTACTTTAATTTATTTATATTATTAATCTATATTTATATTATTTTTTATGGTCTAACGTGTGAATTTACACTTTTTTAAGTCACCCGAGTAACTCAGACATATTGCTGATCTTCGTCTTTCGTATCGTAAACAATTGAATTTTATTTTAACTTTTTCTTGTATACTTCTTGGCCAATTGGTATGAGGATGTTAGGGAGAAAATAAACACAATTTTTGATTTTCGTAATCACCTGGTACTCTAGGGGCGTGGCAAAAACTGCTTAAATACTAGTAGTCAATCTTTACCCGTACACATCTTGAAGAACAAGAGGCCCAGGGACCACATCGCTCACCTGAACACTCTGGCTAGAAAAAAACAGAAATCAATTCAGTCTTGAAAAGTTTAAATATTTCACCGGTAGGGGATTAATAGGTTCCAAAAGTATTAAGCTTTATTTTATTTTTTAACATTTTAAATTATATCTCTATTTTTTCACTTTTTTCAATGCTTAAGGTTTTTAATTTTGTATGTAAATACATTGTTATGAAATGAAATTTTTGAATATTTTTTTATTCAAATCTACATAAAATAGAGGGAAAAAAACACTAAAAATTACTGTCAAGGAAATATGCTGCTTGGAATCCAACAAAACTCTAAAAATATAAATTAAAAAAAAAAGGTTAGTAAGATGAAAGAAAGAAATTGAATGAAATTGAAAAATTGAAGAAAACAAATGAGACATTACAAAAATCATGGAAGGAAAGATCCTATTAAAGAGTTATCTTTCTTTATTTTACCTTGACTCAAATAGCTTGGTATCAAATTCCTTTTGGGGGGGGGGGATGCAAAAGACTTGATGATACAAAGAATTATTTAAGAAATAACAGTAATACATGTAATTTCATGCAAAAAAAAAAGTTGTTGTTTACGTCCCATTCGAGAATTTTTCACTCATATAGAGACGTCAAGATATACCGGTGAGAGGCTTCAAATTTTGACCTTTGCTCGGCACTCAGGGCCATTGAGCAGTGAGGGGTCTTTATCGTGCCAACGCCTGCCGTGACACGGGGCCTCGGTTTTTAACATCTCATCCGAACGTCCCGTAACTTTCACTTCATATATATATATATATATATATATATATATATATATATATATATATATATATATATATATATATATATATATATATATATATATATATATATATATATATATGTATTACTTATGATCATAAGCAGCTGTTACTAATAAGTAAGAAAAAGCCACTATAGCTACAATGAAATATATATAGTTATATAAGTAAAAAACATAGAGAAGACAAAAACAGCTGCCAAGACACACTTTGCAAATAACACAGAACATACACATACAAATGATACACAAAATAGAAACATTTGAATATGGCACATGGATAATTAAAATATGAAATAAATGCTAATTGTTAGGTAATTATTTAAACAGTGAATTGTCGACGGATTTTCCCGTTATTTCCCGATCATGACAAGGAGCACACGGCGGGTGTGACCGGTCGGCAGGGAATGCTCACTCCTCCATGGCACTTGATCCCACCTTTGATGTTTTCGAGGTCCGTGTTTGCTCTGCTCCTATTTTGTAATGTTTAATAGACTTTTGAGTTTGAATACTGTACGTTATCTCCATATATTTCATGATTAAATTTGAAAAATTGCAGAATTTTCGAGAAGACAAGAATAGAACAAGAAATGAACAAAAGGACACACAAAAGAGAAAAACTTGAATGATACATGAAAAATTTCAGAAATGAAATGAACACATTGATTAATAAGCATAAAAATGAGTATAGTTACCTGTCAGGTCCGTACAGAATATATACACGATGTCCGAGACAAATGGGATGATACTTACTTTTATTACTTGTCTTACCTTCGTACACTTTTCTGATACCCCTGTTATAATATATCAATTATGTAAAAGTTATTAACGTTACATGTGTATTTAATTTTTTAAAAAGACACGAGTAAATGAATAATATCTTTGCAAATAAAACAAACACCTTGATTCAAATTCCAAGTTAAGAAAAATAACATCAGGAAGAGAAATGAGTGACTAACTTTGCAAACACATACTTTGTTCTGGTCACCCTTACCACTCCGTCAGAGTTTGTTTCACTCAATATATTCTCAATTCCCTCTGGTCCTCCTCTTTCATATGCCGTCTTCAAATGTTGGTATGTCAAACCAGACCGGACTATTTTTCTAAACATGTAATTTTAAACAATGTTTATTGATGGTTGCAAAGATACTAAGCATCCATTTGATGTCTTTGATTTGTACTCTATTGAAGATATTACATACTGTACACTAAATCTGTGTTTTAATAAAATATCAGAGCTTATGTTTCAATTTAAAACCAATGATTGCAATGCCTGTACATCTTCAAGAGCTGAGTGGGCCTTATAAGACATAGATATACAATCTTTAACTAAAGTTTCCTGCTTGAAACACTTCCTACCTGGCAAAACTTCCTTTATCACATACAAACTATCACAAAACCTTCAACAGGTAACAAATTACATGAACAATTTTTAAAAAGCTTTCATCAAAATGATTGCATCGAATGCAAGTAATGATTTGTTAAACTGTTTCAACCACTCTGTGAACTCTGCTGGGCATCTTTCAATAGATAAATCTTCAACTTTTTCCTTGTGATGAAACATCACCCCATTGACAACATGTAATCCAGTTATAGCTGTGGCACCTGCTGTTATTGGTGATTTAGGAATAACTTACCTGTTAAAACTTTCTTTTTCAGTCACACATGCCAATTGAGTGATGTCACAAGAAGTACCTTTAAAAAATAGTAAACAAGTATTTTTATTTTACAAATATTTATAATGTAAATATAACATATGTATTTTAGCAATATTTGACAAATTGCTCTGGTACATTGCATATCTATTTTTGCTTGCTACAAAGAGAAGTATTATCTACCTAAGCCAGTTGTCTCGAGGTCAAAGTAAAGAAATGTATTCTTTCCATTTTCCACCACTTTGAGTGTTGGTGGGACTGTTGCATCTGGTATTTCCTGTGTGGTTTCTAAGGATGTTGTAGGGTTTAGGTCTACTGCGGTCTGATATGTTGTGCCTTCCTTTACTTCAGCTGTTGACACCTATCATTTTTAATACATACATGTAGCATTGGAAATGGAAATGTGCAACTTATATGAATACAAGTTCTATTATATTACAAAAAATATGTATTTAAAACATTGTTGAAATTAATGCAAAGTATATATCAGCAATTTTTTTTAGCAATTACCTGTTTAGCCATTGATGACTTCAATTCATTGCGTCGTTTTTGTATGCTGTGCTGGCCTTTCTACTCCTGTTATACTGCCTTTTCTTTGATCAATTGTGTATTCTTTCCCGGCGACAATAATAGGTTGTCATAAACCTACAAGTATAGCAACATGTATAACATAGAAAAGAACATGTACTTCTTTAAAAAATAATTGAAAAATATCAGCATAAATACATGGTGAAAATAAAGAATGTCTTATAACACAGATTAAACTTTAAAATAAAGCCTTGGAAAGAGCATCAGTGCCAATATTCTTTTGTGCAACAGCTGCAACCTTGAATGCAGTGGACTCAGACCACCATAAAAGCGGTTCTTTGGGTGGTTTTTTTTTAGGAAACGATGTTGAAGCTCTCGATTCCTTGAGTGCTTCCTATGTTAAGTAATCTTTCAGCATTCTTGTTAAAGCATCAAAGATATTTTGGAGGTCCCGTATTACATCTTCTCCAGTTGAATAAATTTAAAGTATTGAATTTATGTAATACACGAAAGGCATAATCAATGTATAATAAATTGAAAGTATTGAATTTTCTTAAACAGGTCCTCTGAATCATCCCCTGAGAGAAGCAAGCCCCAAGACATCGAATGATATTTTCAGGGGTCTCACGGCAAAGAGTTGATACAGGACCCCTGACGTTGTGAGGATGGGGTTGTCAAAGCTCTGTAATTTCATGAAATAGTATGGTAGTTAAATAATAAAAAAAAAAAAACTACATAATATCTTACATTTTTACTAAACTGTGTGCTGAAGTGGCCGTGTGTCTTAATATCTTTTCCAACCAAATTTCATCCAGCTTTATAAACCAAATTCAGGTCCCTATATCTCTCTACATATCAATTACAAAGAAGAGCATTGAAGTGGTAAAATTTTCCGTTTGAATGGAACGTTTTGAGCTTTCTTTTGAAGTTGATTGTCATATAATGACACGCCTATTTCTTTAGAAAAGAAAAAAAAGGTCAAATACATGTTGAACGGGTGAATATAATAGTTAATGAAATTGAAAGTCTACATAAACACCAAGTAAACTCGTGTTCGACCGATTCATGCGTTGTGGCCAATTTAGTAAACATGATAAATTTATAAATATGTACATATTTGTGTTTTACAGGAGATGGGTCTCTAACTTTCCCTTCTAATTATAAAAAACCTCCATCTCAGAGTAACTCATGTTGATAGTCGCAGAGACTGGGGTGTCCTAAAGCATTACGACGAATATTTCTTTCTAGTTTCTCGTTTCTGAAGAAATGAGCGTGTCATTATGTAGCAATTGACGTTCGATAAGAAACACCCAAACTACTCATCGTAATTTATCACTAAAATGATTTTTAAATCGTAGCGGCAGCATTATAGACCCGCGTATTTCTATATTTAGAAGAGAAGCCGCTGTCTTGTTTTGAACATATTTTATTGACATAAGCAAATGGATCGGAAACAAGTTCTTATAACTTACTGGTTCCTCTCCTTAAATATAACAATTGTCATGCAAAGAAGAAAAAATGCAGAGAAATATTAATGTAACAAGTGACATAACTGAAAGTTCTGTTCAATAACAATAGCAATTTAAAATCAACAGGTTTCATCAATAAATTTATGGACAGCACAAAAATTGTGTGATTAGTTTGTAGAGGCAAATCTGTGTCACCCCAAAGTAACAAAGGATGACTGCACTCAAGGACATGCGTAATTTGCGACAAAAGAAACTTTCAAAACAAGCATTTTTCTTTTCATTGTAAGAAGGGTCAACATCCAATCTACAACTTTATGTAATTATGAGTAGTATAAGGGGTCTGGATGGGCGGGTCAACTGAGTGCACTTTTGTCCCCCCAGATCCTGGATAGGCGGGTCAACTGAGTGCACTTTTTTTGGGCCCCAGATGACCGGTTCAATCTAGTATACACCCTGGAAAAACCCAAGTAAAAAAAAAGGGGGTCTACGTTTAATCTACGTTTGTGCTGAGTCAGGTATAGGCAATACACAATCTTGGCATCGATTCAAGTATACCATTGTGACGTCATGTCATTCACACAGAGCTCTATTTTCTGAAAACGGAAAAAACAATAACACAGTCAAAAGTGTGTAAGATGATTTATTCAAAGTAATGTGTACATAATATTTACTTTTTCTTCTGGAGTTTCAGGGTCTTCTCCGTCTGGGTAGTAGGAAGTTTCCTCTTGTTGTTAGCCTGCTTTTGATCCTGTTGACTTGTCTCTATTTTCTTTTCTAGATTTCCAATCTCATTCATTATCACTCCTCTAAACACACGAATTTCAGTAATCATGTCTTCTTTAAACTCACAAATAGTCTGTTGAAGTATCTCCATTACATTGGTCATTTGATCTAAGATATCGCATATCAAACTTCTTTCATTTCCTTCAATACTATCCTGTGTCTCTGGTAAGGTTGCAGGTGAATTCATGGACTTTTCCTCTGCCATATTTTTTTACGTCTGTCTAGTACCAAGTGCCCACTAAGACTGATCCTAAAATTTCCAGCTCTGCTTTATATACACTTTTGTACGTACTGTGTACGTCTCAATACTTAGTCTTGGATCATCGAGCTACCTAGGCATTGTGACGTCATACACTGTATAAATACAGCTTTTCTCCGACTTTCAGCTCATTTTGTTGTCAGATCTATCAAGATGAATTTTGATAGTGCCTTGAAACAATTGTTACATGCACAACAACTTATGAGATGGAAAAAACGGGAGAAAGAATTAGAAAGAATTATTTCTCGACAGAGAACCAGAGAATTAGTTCTCAGGAAAAAAAATGCGAGATTAATGGAAAGATTAAAGAGAGCCAAAGCCAACCGAGCTCAACACTTACAACGTTTACGGAATGTACCTGAAGAAGAAGAAGAACCTTCTCCGTCTTCGTCCCCACCTCATTCACCACCCCAGAAGCCAAAGGCCATTTCCCAGTATTATCAAGTGAGACTCAATAAAGCTAAGCATTCCAGAAAATTTAAAGCTAAAGAAGATGTCTACAGTGTGAATTTTAAAGAATTTCCAGAGGAGGAAAACAGAGGCTTTGTTCGGCGATTATTTAGAGACATGCTACAGAATGTCAAATATCACATGCAGTGTAACCCTAACGATTATGTACGCCTGAACATTCACCACCCTTCTCTGGATTCCGACATTTGGTACGAGTTTACGCAATGTAAACATTTGAACGAGGACGTCATTTTAAACAAAATAGAAGCCGTGCAACAATCCAAGAAAGATTTTAAACTGGGAGACGGGTCTATGGAATTCGACATGTTTCATGTCAAATATCCAGAAGGCAGTGGTGGACCAAACACCTGATGGTCAATAAGGAGAGTTTTAAAAAGAATAAACGATGCATCGTTCAGATCGACAATCCTTGGGATAAATTTTGTTTAGCTCGAGCCATTGTAGTCACCCTGTTACACAGTCAAAAACCGGAAAATCCAGAGAGTTTAGTTGAATGGGAAAAACAATGGCTATGTATGCGGAAGGGTGATGTAAGAGCTAATGACCAGAAAAATGAAGCTATAGCTCTCATGGAACAAGCCGGGTGTGATATTCATCAGCCTTGTGGATCCGAAGAATGGGGGAAATTACAACAGGTGTTAGCCCCTCGCTATCGACTGAAAATATTTCAGTTCAAGTCCACCTCCTCTAAACTCAGTTTAGAGCCCATATACAAAGGCGGCGGAGATGGAACTTGTTTAAATGTTTTGTTAAACGATCATCATTACGATGCTATTTTGTCTATGCCAGCTGTGACGGGCAACCCATATTACTGTGATCATTGCGATGTGGGCTACAGGAACATTACAGGCCATCGTACCAAGTGTCCTTACCGCTGTTCATTTTGTTTAACGGACACTCCCTGCCCTCCAGACGGGAGCCACATTCAATGTTATCAATGCCAGGGATTTTTTCAGAGCAGAACTTGCTACGAAAACCATTTAAAACCTCACAGTAAGAATACGGTCACAACAGTATGCAGTTTAATGGGACGATGCGACCATTGTGAGAAATGGATGCCTAAAATGTTACTCCCTCATCATCATTGCGGAGGACAGAAACAATGTAAGATCTGTAAGAAAACTGTAGACACGGATCATCAGTGCTACGTTCAACTGAAGCCTGAGAAAAAGAAAAAGAAAGGCAAAGAGACATTACAGTTTTATATTTATTTCGATTTCGAATGTACACAGGAAAACGGCATCCACGTCCCTAATTTATGTGTGGCACACCACGTATGTCAACATTGCGGACACTTACCCATAGAAGATCCCTGTCCTCACTGTCGACACATGGGACCCCGTCAACACGTGTTTAAAGGGCCAGATACCTTAAAACACTTCATGGACTGGTTATTACAACCCGACACAGGCAATAAGAATTCCGCCTTATTACACGACGAGGCTATCATCATTGCCCACAATTTCAAAGGATATGACGGACAGTTCATTTTAAATTACCTGGTGCATTCCGCCTGCATGACGCCTACAGTCATCATGAACGGCAGTAAAATCTTATCCATGCAAATCTGCGGATTAAAATTCATCGACTCTTACAATTTTTTACCTTTTGCTCTGTCTAAAATGCCCTCTGCTTTCGGATTCACCGAACTGAAAAAAGGGTATTTCCCTCACTTTTTTAATACAGAACAGAACCAGAATTATGTGGGGCCTTATCCACCGGCAGCTTTCTACAATCCGGACGACATGTCTATAAGTGGACGACAGGCTTTTTACCAATGGTACGAACAACAAACCGGAAAAGTGTTTGATTTCCAGAAGGAATTTTTAGACTATTGTATTTCAGACGTCGATATTTTACGACGATGCTGTGCTCAGTTTCGAGCCACTCTCAAGACCTTGGTTCATGTAGACCCCTTCCAGGAATCCATCACTTTTGCCAGTGCGGCCAATTTAGCTTACCGTCGAGGATTCATGCCCGAAGATACCATTGCCATCATTCCCAACATGGGGTATCAGCCTGCGCGTCAATATTCCGCCAAAGCCTGTCGTTGGTTAAGCTGGATGAGTCACCAGAGCGGATCTCACATA